CAAGATAAAAAAAGTCGTACTTCCGAGTTAAAAAGCAATACGAACGAGAGAAAAAAGTAAATTGTCAAGGGTAACCGTAACTGTATTTCACAAAACTGGTATATTGGACAGTCAGGGGTTCGATTGATGAAATAAAAAATAGCCGTCAACAGTCCTCCCCGATTTTGCCAAGTTCCAGTCACAATGTCTTGCAAGCGGAGAATGTTATATGTTAATAGGAACAATTTGACTTTCGTAAATTTTTTTGTTAAGTCAGAAGTGAATACAACTTGTCGTAAGTTTTAAAGTCAAGCCAATGTCGTGAAAAGAGACATTTTTCTACACGAGCTTTGACGTTTTAACATTGTCTGAAATTAGACATCTCTTATCAAACCATCTGTCAATACGTTGAAATGTACACGAACTTTTGATCACCTTTCGCATTTATTGACGTGTTCGTATGTAACTATATTACATGTTAAACATTCATTGTATTTTGTCTTAATTGTTGAAGTTATTTTAGCATTTAACGTCTTTTAAGTGTAAAGGAAACCACATATATTAAGTAATATTTTGTTTATATCTGTAAAGAGGATGTTTTATAATTAAGGTTAACAAACACATTCTTGAACCGGAAGTAAACCTATCTTAGTGAACTATCTGTTACAATAACGCAAATGGGCATATCCTATTAAACCATCTGTCAATTCGTTAGAAAAGTACACGAACTTTGACGTTTTAAAATTGTCTGAAAGGTGGGGTTCTTAATCTGCCCACGCATGGATTTTATTCAAACTTTGCTATTTTAATGTTGAGGTGAAATAACTTCAGAAACTGAAATTATTATTTTAAAGTTTGTAAAATAAAGGCAGAAAGGGCATGTATTGATGTTTTCCCTGAAAATTAGGTGGTAACCCAATATTTAATGTCATAAGTACAAACAATCAGGATTGTTTCAAATTATGATTGTGCAGACACTAAGAATTCCATTAAAATGTATTTTGCATGTTTTGAGTCAGTGATATAAAAAAGCAACTGGCTTACCATGACCACATTCTATTAGAAATATCGACCAAAAGAATCACACTTGAACATTCAAAGTCTATTTTGTATAGGTTTTCTCAGATGACTCATCTTCGTTAGTCTTTAAAAATAGTTTTAGGGTATTGTTTACATCAATTTAAAAAAAAAAAAAAATTGAGAACCGGGAACATAGTCTACCAGCCTGTCTCATATACCTACCCCACTAACACAGACTGACTGAAAATGGACCTAGAAGACATATCCTTGGAGGCAGATCCCTTTTGGTGCCATGCTATATATACCCAAGTATACACAAGTCTACTGACCATTATATACATGTCTACTGACCATTACATTCACGTCTAATGACCATTACATACACGTCTACTGACCATAACATACACGTCTACTGACCATAACATTCACGGCTACTGACCATTACATACATATCTACTGACCATTACATACACGTCTACTAATCATTAAAAGTGTACTAATCATTACATACAAGTCTACTGACCATTACATATACGTCTACTGGCCATTACATACCCGTCTATTGGCCATTATATACATGTCTACTGATCATTACATACAAGTCTACTGAGCATTACATTCACGTCTACTGACCATTATATTCACGTCTACTGGCCATTACATACATATCTACTGACCATTATATACATGTCTACTGGCCATTATATACATGTCTACTGGCCATTATATACACATGTCTACTGACCATTAAATACAAGTCTACTGACTATTATATACATGTCTACCGACCATTATATACATGTCTACTGACAATTATATACATGTCTACTGACTATTATATACATGTCTACTGACCATTATATACATGCCTACTGACCATTATATACATGTCTACTGACCATTATATTCATGTCTACTGACTATTATATACATGTCTACTGACTATTATATACATGTCTACTGACCATTATATAATGTCTACTGACCATTACATACAAGTCTACTGACCATTACATACACGTCTACTGACCATTACATACACATCTACTGACCATTACATACACGTCTACTGACCATTACATACACGTCTACTGACCATTATATACATGTCTACTGGCCATTACACACATGTCTACTGACCACTACAAACAAGTCTACTGACCATTACATACAAGTCTACTGACCATTACATTCACGTCTACTGATCACTACATACACGTCTACTGACCATTACATACACGGCTACTGATCATTACAAGTGTACTGATCACTACATACACGTCTACTGACCATTACATAAACGTCTACTGATCATTACATACCTGTCTACTGGTCATTATATACATGTCTACTGACCATTGCATACAAGTCTACTGACCATTATGTACAAGTCTACTGGCCATTATATACAAGTCTACTGACCCTTATATACACATCTTCTGACCATTACATACAAGTCTTCTGACCATTACAAGTCTACTGACCATTATATGTCTACTGACCATTACATGTCTACTGACCATTATTAACAAGTCTACTGGCCATCACATACAAGTCTACTGACTATTACAAGTCTATCGACCATTATAAACAAGTCTACTGACCATTACATATACGTCTACTGACCATTCATACCTGTCTACTGGCCATTATATACATGTCTACTGACCAACACATACAAGTCTACTGACCATTATATACAAGTTTACTCGCCATTATATACAAGTCTACTAACCATTATATACATATCTTCTGACCATTACATACAAGTCTACTAACCATTACATGTCAACTGACCATTACGTGTCTACTGACCATTACATGATTACTTACCATTATATATCTACTGACCATCACATACAAGTCTGTTGAACATAACATACATGTCTACTGACTATTACATACAAGTCTACTACCATTACATCATCATCAATATATTGTCATCATCATAATCATCTATCTGTTTACTACATCATCATCATTTTACTAATCCACAATGTTTTATCATCATCATCATCATCATCATCATCATCATCATCATCATCATCATCATCATCATCATCATACGCTATCTGTTTACATCATTATCATCATTATAATAATCCACAATGTGTTATAATCATCATCATCAGCATCAGCATCATTATCATCATCCTCATCAAACATCATTTTCTGACGTCATTGTTATCATCATCGTCAGCAAGAAAACATTGCCACCATCATAATCATCGTCATACACCATCATCTTGCAGCATTGTCATCACTATCATCAACAACAGTGCATAAAACCATTAAAAACAATAACATATCATCATCATCATACACCATCAGTATCGTCATCTATACATTCAATCCATAATCATCATCATCATATACCATCATCTGACATCATCATCAACAACATATCAGCATCCTCTACAATGTTCGGTCATCATTATTATCAACATCGCTGTATGACCATCATCAACATTATCTACAATCATCTTCGATCATCATCATCACATCCTAATCAGAAGAACGCAGGTAAATGCATCTTGTTATGACACACCCCAATATTTACCCACCACTCAAGTATATACAAAAATATCGTTGACTGAAGACATAACATCACCCTTTGCTCACAACACTCATTTACTGTCTTGATGCCTCGCAAGCTATCCTTCCAACTTGGCCTGTCTTGCTTATTTCATTTTTTATTTCTTATTGTCTTATGACTACACTCTTCTCTCATCTTCGTTAAGTGTTTTTACATTGTCTTACACTAGTCTCTTTTACTATACTACTATTGAATTATTTTCAGTTTAAAATCTGTTTACAGTATGGCTGGAACTTGTGTAGCAAGCAGCAGGATATATAGCGGAATATTTTACTTCCTAGGTGACTTTGAGGTTTGGTTGCATCAACATTCAACTGGTTTGCTCCGGGGTCAGATTCATTCTTGACATAAATCACAAACAAAATACAATGTCTGGATTCAGTATGATGTTGCAGATCCTATCAAAGACTATTACTGTACTTGCCCTACTGGTAAGCGAACTGTTGGAATGTGTGCACATATTGCTTGTATATCATACTTTCTGGGAAATGCTCCAAAGCAAACTTCATCAGAACTATCTTGTAAACGTGTGTCTAATTTTAAGAAGTCAGTTGTTGATGATACATGTATGGGGTATCGTCTGCGATAGCTCAGTTGGTAGAGAGTCCAACTAGTATTTTGAAGGTCTTTGGCGTGTGTCCCAGTCTAGCTAGTGCGCTGGCCATTTCTATATATTGCCCCCGGCCCTTTAGCTATGTGACGATGGGCGATTCATACAGAAGTATGGAAATAAACTAAGCACTTATTGTTTTCTGCCAAAATGCAATACAAGTAACAAGTAGTAGGCTTATATTAAGCTAGTATAACAAAACCTGTCTGTGTCCCCTAAAAAAAACCTCCTCCACCCTGCATCTGTGACCTAGATTTTGATAATGCAAGCTTGTGTTGCAGAGATTCAACAGTATGGAAAAACACTTTCCCGGTGTTTAATTTCAATATTTTATTATGGTTCATAGTAATATAATCAAAATAAATTTTGATAAAATATTTGAATGAGACATTCTTTGGAACTTTGAAAATTTGTTGTTAACTTAATTATCTTACCGACATATTCAAATTTGGTATCATTTTAACTGCTAGCATGTCTGTAATCAATGTAAGCATTTCTCATGGAATAAAATAAAGTAAGAGAAATGTTATGGAGCTTCAAAAGGGAGTAACATGCATTCATTTGACCAAATGCATGTCAGGCCCTGTGGGTCTTATTCTTTTTGCACGATTTCGAATAAAAGTTATTGTTTCTGTTCAGCCATGGTATGATTGAAGTACTTGTAAAGTTTCAGGAAAATCCGTGCGTGGGCAGGTTCTATGGGAATTTTAACATCGGTAAGAATATCTGTAATCAAACCATCTGTCAATACGTTGAAATGTACATAAACTTTTGATCTTTTCTGATTAACTTTCCTATATATTCGGGCATGAACTGACTGGCAGGAGGAAACGAAAAATGACGACCGTTAATATCATTGTAAGTGTGGCGACTTTTTTAAATGTTTTACTATGTTTTGTAAGTTGTAAAGATAGCCATGCCAAGAGACTTCTTGTTAATGACCCACACGCTATTCAAGATCAAATGACTCACATCCAGGAAGAACTACAGGTGCTACAGACAACGGTACAGACACAGGCAGGGAAAATAACGTCACTGGAACAACAACTCTCACAGGCCGAGCATGGTAGTTTTTATTAAACATATTTTTAAAGTGATGTTTTATAATCATCAAACATTTTGTTCAAAAGTATGTTTACGTTAAATTGCATCGTGTCATATTAAGAAAGGGTTGATAAGAAATATATTTGTTTTACTGCTACAAATGTATGTATGTGCTTTGACCTTTACTTAAGCTGATTACCTCGAATGTTCGACAAATTACACTGCCGGTTATCTTTTTAAAAATGAGTTAACCAACTAATAATATATTGATTTACACAATGGATTATTGAATGTGTGTTTGTTGTTTATCTCTAGTCTGAAACGTTTGATCACAGGTACAGGAGGAGCCACATTTGTCCGTTGGGGAAGGACTGACTGCCCTGCCAATTTAACAGAGCTTGTTTATTCCGGTATGGTCCTTCAAAATTAGATTTCCTATATTTTATTATGGCAAATATGGACATGCATATATTCGGACAAGATCGCGGCGTGTTTACATTCGTCACTGCAAGTAGGTTAAATGTCAAAGATAAGAAATGCAATTCAGAAATTAAAATAGATATTGACAACTTACTTAGTACTTTGTCAGTCGAATGACATTAAATAATCTCCGAGGAAAATATCGGTACAGGCATTTAACATAGTCTGGAGTGATCTCTACCCAGATGTTCGGGATTTCATGAAAAAGATCATCTCTGCCAGCGATCACCCCAACACGTTGTTGAAGCTTTCTCTTGGCTAGTAACACCATATTTTCGATTATATTAATATCTGGGCTCTGGGCTGGTCAGCTCGCGGTCGTAATTCCGTTTCTATGAATTAAGTCTTTGGTAGAACGTACACGTTAGACAGGTGCATTGTCGCCCTGAAATATATAATTTCCAGAGAAATGACGAGCCAAGACTGGCCACAGACTGTCATAACAAATATCCTGATACTTATCTGCGTTTATTTGCCATTTACTGCCGTGATATGACTAACTCCTTGCCATGTTATGCATCCTCAGATAATGAATCCGTAACATAGTTTACAACGACTAGCGACACAAAATGACTCCCGGACTGTCACCGTTTAGTTGCTGTTCATTATTTTCAGACTCTCGATTCTTGACTTGGGTGTACACTATACCAAGTAGTTCTGATACATATCGTATAGTATGCCCCTCTTCTAGTAATTTACGAGATATTGTTTTTACCTCTCAACTCGTAAGTTTTTCCCGTCTTTTTTCAGTTGTCAAAATTTGTAAACAAAGCAGGCAACATCAAATCCCGAGCCATTTTAACTGTCAGGTGACAATAGCAGCCAATAATAGCTTCTTAAATCAGCGACGTCTTTGTATAACACTTTATTTATTTGCACGCACACTTGTCAGTGTAGCGCGCAACAAAAATAAACCGCCATCTTGTCCGAAAGTATGTTGTATCGTACTGTACATCGAGTCAAATCAGCTGCCTTCTATGTTATCTTTGACCCATGTATGTATATTTATGTATATTTAGGTCTCATAAATAATAACAACAGTATGGTCCAATATGAGAACCTGATACAAATACACTAGTATGCAACAAATGAGCATCGCGAACATTTTGATAAGGAAAACATTATCATGAAGCCATTCCATATCACAAAATACATAACCGAAAACTGTTTACATAAAACAATCACATATCACAAAAAAAAAGTTACAGAAAAGTTAGTAAAACAGTCGCATATCACGAAATATATAATAAGAGAAAACACTGATAGCTAACCATTTCTTATCACAATATATATAACAGAGAATAAATTTAACATGAAACAATAACAAGCTGCAAAATATATAAAACAAAACAAAACAAACCTCTTGATATTTAAAGCTGGTGTTAAACCCTCGGGGCTAAATGATATTTCTGTAGAATAATGTTTCTTTGATTGTGTACACGAGTGAATCAATAAGTTCTAAAATAACTTTTAAAGAGTATTAACTAATGAATGAAGAGTCTTTAGTCTTTAGTCTGACATCTCAAAATATGTTCCAGGGGAACTAAACTACCATGAACCAATGTATACATTCGTGCCATTCTGTATATCAAACGCATTGCAGGTTACGCGGGCGGATCCTTTTATACACACAAAGGTGCGGCGGCGAACTATGTTTGTTTACCACGAGAGCCGGTGTGGGGACCTTACAAAGATCTACCCAATGATGACTATTCTGCAAGAATGTATGGCGCTGAATACGAATCCCACCCTTCTTCAACACCTTTTGGTTCACAATCACGTGACAAAGACGTTCCGTGTGCGGTCTGTAGGACTACGTCATTTATCTCCTCTGTGATGATACCAGCGAGGGCAACATGCTTCAGCGGCTGGACGAAGGCGTACAGTGGTTCACTGGCGGCAGGGAACTATAATTTTGCAGCAGCTTCCGAGTACATCTGCGTGGACGAGCATGCGCAGTCCGTAGTCGGAGGGGTCGACGCCAACGAAAATGGGGCGTTGTTTTTCGCTGTAAAAGCGGAGTGTGGTTCACTCAGATGCCCGCCATATGAACAGAATAAATATCTATCTTGTGTTGTCTGCATGAAATAAAATAAAGACTATTCGGAGAAAATGTCATCTCTCAACACAAAATATTTGAATTACTGCTTCTTTGTCATATAATACAACTTCAACATGGGGGAACAAGTGAATGTAAAAATTAATGTTTTGTCCCTCACATGACTTCTAAGACATATCATAAGATACTTGTAAAGTGTATACCATGTGATGTGTAAAGCACGAATTAATTATCAAATAGTTCATTCTATCCTCACCTGTTACTCGCTGGTTAAATCGGCGGACAGAAACCCGTACGAATGAGGTTTACATTTTGTCACCATCCGATGTTTTTTTTATACATGTATATCACCCAAGGTGTGTTTGCTCTGTTCATAACAGATAGCAGTTTTTAAAGAATATGCATATAAAGAGTCGTCGATTTATTTCCATGTGAAATGGAACATTTTTTTCTGAAAAAGCGCCCTTCTTTTATTTTCAAATATCAGTTATTTGCATGCTTGGTATAAACTAAAAACTATTTCGTGATATCAAGTATTCAGGTTCCTGAAATTAAAACGTCAAAATTTATATTTTAAAATAGAAATGTATTTGTTAATATCATATATTCGACCTCATTGATATCATGATAGCAGAATGGGTTTTTGTTTTTGTATCAATAAATCATTCATCTCAAGAAATTGAATTCCTCACATAGAGAAACTTTGATTTTAAAAAAAAATCTTGATATGAGTTTTTTGTTGGAGAAAAAAAAATAAAAAAAAATCCCTGTGATATAAATAATGCTCTATTAATAATTCCAAGTAAAAGCTTTTTTTTAAATTGATTTGTAGTAACAAGAAATCGTTTCAAACTAAGAACAACATCGTTTTCGACGAAAATCGATTATCAATCAAACGTTAAGCAGGGAATAACAACTACCATTTTTAAGGACTTTGGTATTTCCTGGCCTTTGGACAGAACCCATTGCCTACCTCATTTGGGCGAATGTTCAACATTATAGCTCAAAGTGAGGTACAGACCCTGGACCGTTTTTCTTTACCAAAAGTGCGTTGCGTTTCCGTTGCGTTGCGTTTGCGTTGAGTTTGCGTTGCGTTTGCGTTGCGTTTGCATTGACCGTTTGATGTGCGTTTTAAATTTAGCGTTGAATGTGCGTTGAATATGCGTTTTTCTGGTTATTTAAGAAAACGATCGATTGCTATTTACAGGTTATTTTAAGAATATGTGAGTGCTGAAATGTTTTTATATATATATAAAAAAAAAGTTATATGTATAACAAAGTTTGCAAATTAAAAAGAAAATAAATATACAAATAAAATAGATAAATACATGAAATAATCGGTTGGCAGTTTAGCAATGACTTATATCTATATTCGAATATTTGGGCTGCGTCGTGTGCTGATTGATGGATGCATGTCTATACACATCACTGCACGCATGGGCTGATGGTTTCGTAACGACACCAGGGTAGTCTGGATTGAAGAGAGGCTTATAATCAGTGCGTCTAAACGGCGAGTTTCATTTTATAAAATATTTGTAGTTTTATCTCTATGTGTGTATGCTTTTTCGTTAATTCTATTGTGTATATTGTGGGTTTTGTTTACATCCTGGTCGAAGTATGCAAGTCCTGCGCTCGACTCGCAATATGTATCGGGGGTGATTCCTGCGAGGTTCGAGAGGTACAAGGCCCCTGCCAACATTGACAATATATAGATTTTGATTACGTCATTAAAAATCATTGAGACCTAGCAATTTTACTACAGTAGTTGTGTATCCGGTATTTCTTTAAGCTGAATTAAGAGGACACATTATTATTAATTTTCAACATATAATAAAATAGTGATGAGTATTGAACTAAGTATTTTAAATATTGAAAAGATTAATAAAGAACGTCATTATGGTTAAACCACGAATGGCAAAAAACGCCACAAATGAAAAAAAATATCAATAAATAATTAAATTGAATAAATAAAACAAATTATTTAATAAATCAATAAACTGAAATAAAAGTAATTGAATTGAATAAAAAAAAAATCAATAAAATGAAATAAATAAATGAACATAATTACTTCAATAAAATAACAAAATAAATGCAGGGGGGTATAAATGCTTAAGACAGTTGACATTTGTAGGTGATGTAGAAGGGTGTAGGTGGTAAAGGAAGTATAGGTGGTATAGGAGGGTATAGGTGGTATATGAACTAAATGTGATGTAGGAGGGTATAGATGTTATAGAAAGTATAGGTGATGTAGGAGGATAAGTTAATAAAGCTGATGTAGGAGGGTATAGGTGGTATTTGAAGTAAAGATGATGTAGAAGGGTATAGGTGGTATAGAAAGTATAGATGGGATAGGAAGTATAGGCGGTGTAGGAGGGGATAGGTAGTATATGAAGTAAAGATGATGTAGGAGGGTATAGGTGGTATAGGAAGTATAGATGACATAGGAGGGTATAGGGGGTATAGGAAGTATAGATGGTATAGGAAGTATAGGTGGTGTAGGAGGGTATAGGTGGTATTTGAAGTAAAGATGATGTAGAAGGGTATAGGTGGTATAGAAAGTATAGATGGTATAGGAAGTATAGGCGGTGTAGGAGGGTATAGGTAGTATATGAAGTAAAGATGATGTAGGAGGGTATAGGTGGTATAGGAAGGATAGATGGTATAGGAAGTATAGGCGGTGTAGGAGGGTATAGTGGTATAGGAAGTATAGATGGTATAGGAAGTATAGGTGGTGTAGGAGGGTATAGCTGGTATATGAAGTCAATGTGATGTAGGGGGTATAAGTGGTATATGAAGTAAAGATGGTGTAGGAGGGTATATGTGGTATAGGAAGTATAGGTGGTATAGGAAGAAAATGGGATGTTGGAAGATATAGGTGGTATATAAAGTACAGGTGAAGTAGGAAGATATAGTTAATAAAGCTGATGTAGGATGGTATATGTTGTATAGGAAGTATAGGTGGTATAGGAAGTATAGATGAGGTAGGAGGGTATAGGTGGTATATGAAGTAAAGATGATGTAGGAGGGTATAGGTGGGAAATGAAGTTAAGGTGACGTAGGAGGGTATAGAAAGTAAAGGTGTGGTAGGAGGGTATAGGTGGTATAGGAGGTTAAGGTGATGTAGGAAGGTATATGTGGTATAGAATGTAAAGGTGATGTCGGAGGTATAGTTGATGTAGGAGGCTATAGGTGGTATAGAAAGTTTGTTTGTTTGTTTGTTTGATTTTGTTTAACGTCCTATTAACAGCTAAGGTCATTTAAGGACGGCCTCCCCTGTGTGCAAGATGCATGCGTGTAATGTATGTGTGTGTATTTTGGGAGGCTGCGATATGTTCATGTTTGACTCCTTGTGATAGCGCGGAACTGATGCCGACTTTATAGTGCTACCTCACTGAGACATACTGCCGAAGACACCCAGCAGGACGCCCCACCCGGTCACATTATACTGACAACGGGCGAACCAGTCGTCCCACTCCTAATTTGCTGAGCGTTAAGCAGGAGTAGAAACTACCATTTTTAAAGACTTTGGTATGTCTCGGCCAGGGGACAGAACCCAAAACCTTCCTCACAGGGGCGAACGCTCAACAAATGACCAAAAGTGAGGCATTGTCAAGAGAGACATTAGGAAGAAGAAAGTTATTTAGAAAGAAGAGAAGAGATAAGGTCCCAAATTTAGTCGCCTCTTACGATCATGCAATTGGGGGCAGCAGGTACAATTCTTACGCCCTACCTGCAGGGACAGGTATAGAAAGTCAAGGTGATGTAGGAGGGTATAGAAAGTCAAGGTGATGTAGGAGGGTATAGATAGTATATGAAGTAAACATGATGTAGGATGGTAAAGGTGGTATAGGAAGTATAGGTGATGTAGGAGGGAATATGTGGTACAGGAAGTTAAGGTTACGTAAGAAGGTATAGAAAGTGAAGGTGATGTAGGAGAGTTGGTGGTTATAGGAAGTAAAGGTGATGTAGGGGGTATAGGTGGTGTAACAGAGTATAGGTGATGTAGAAGGATATAGTTAATAAAGCTGATTTAGGAGGGTAGATGTGGTATAGGAAGTATAGATGACATAGGAGGGTATAGGTGGTATTGGAAGTATAGGTGGTATAGGAAGTATAGATGACGTAGGAGGGTATAGGTGGTATTGGAAGTATAGGTGGTATTGGAAGTATAGAGGATGTAGGAGTGTATAGGTGGTATATGAAGTTAAGGTGACGTATGAAGGTATAGAAAGTAAAGGTGACGTAGGGAGATATTGGTGGTGTAAGAGGGTTTATATGATGTAGGAGGGTATTGGTGATTATAGGAAATATATGTGATGTAGGAGAGTATAGGTGATATAGGAAGTAAAGGTGATGTAGAAGGTTATGGTGGTATATGAAGTTAAGGTGACGTAGGAATGTATAGAAAGTAAAGGTGATGTAGGAGGGTGTAGGTGGTATAGGGGGTAAATGTGATGTAGGAGAGTATAGGTGGGATATGAAGTAAAGATGATGTAGGATGGTAAAGGTGGTATAGGAAGTTATAGATGGTATAGGAAGTATAGGCGGTGTAGGAGGGTATAGGTGGTATATGAAGTAAAGATGATGTAGGATGGTAAAGGTGGTATAGGAAGTTATAGATGGTATAGGAAGTATAGGCGGTGTAGGAGGGTATAGGAGGTATATGAAGTAAAGATGATGTAGGAGGGTATAGGTGGAAAATAAAGTTAAGGTGACGCAGGAGGGTATAGAAAGTAAAGGTGAGGTTGGAGGATATAGGTGGTATAGAAGCAAAGGTGATGTAGGAGGGTAAGGTTTGTATAGGAAGTAAAGGTGAGGTAGGAAGTATAGTTGATGTAGGAGGCTATATGTGGTATAGGAAGTCAAGGTGATGTAGGAGGGTATAGATAGTATATGAAGTAAACATGATGTAGGATGGTAAAGGTGGTATAGGTAGTATAGGTGATGTAGGAGGGTATAGGTGGTATATGACGTATAGGTGATGTAGGAGGGTATATGTGGTACAGGAAGATAAAGTTACGTAAGAAGGTATAGAGAGTGAAGGTGATGTAGGAGAGTTGGTGGTTATAGGAAG